AACCTGAACATGAATGTTCACAGAAGCTTTATTCTTGTGGTATAGCCATACCATAGAATACTACTCAGCAATGAAAAGGAGTGAGCTATTGATACATAAAACAACCCGAATGGATCTCAAAGACATCATGCTGAATGAAAAAAATTTCAAAAGAACATATACTTATTATTCTATTTACATAACATTCTCAAATGACAAAATTATAGAGTTGGAGAACAGATTAGTGGTTGCTAGATTAGGGGTTAGGGAAGGTAGAGAGAGACAGAAGGTGCCTAAGACTATAAAGGGATAGCACAAGGGGGATCTTTGTGATGGAATTGTTGTGTATGCAGTGATAATATACAGGTGATAAAATGGCACGGAACTATACACACACCATTGTATCAATGTCAATTTCCTGGTGTTGATATTATACAATAGTTATGTAAGATGTAATCACTGGGGGAAACAAGTGAAGGGTAAGGACTTCTCTATACTATTTCTGCAATTTCCTGTGAATGTATAATTATCTCAAAATAAAAAGTTAAAATAGTTTCTGAAAATCTGAGGATAAGGGAAGGGAAGACATAGCTCTGTAAATAACAAGGGTCTAGCCACTCTCATTATTATTCTTATAGTTGTTTCAAGAACCAAGCATGATAAAATAACAAATGGCAGTTTTAACAGTGCCTAATATCAGCCAGACAGTTTTAAGTGTTTTCCATGTATTGCCCCATTTAATCTACATAACAATCCTATAAAAGAAATACCACAACCCCATTTTACAGACAAGAAAACTGAAGCTGAAGCAGGTTAAAATCATTTGCCCATGGTCACACAGTAGGTGGTAGAGTCGTGATTTACACTCGGATTGACTCCACATGCATGCCTCCCGCATACCACTGTAACAAGTATAAAGATGTTCGGCAAAAAAAAAGGTATCCATCAAAAAGTGTGCAAAGCCTGGATTAAACAAGGTTAAACCCGTTTACTTTCTGTAGGGTTCTCAGAACTTTTGAAATGCCAGTGGGCATCATGTATCTAGAAGGCTACAGTACATAGTTTTTCCCCAATGTATTTGGCCAGGGAGCCCTTTACTCCCAAAATATATAATCCAACAGTCTCTCATTCAAAAGTTGAAATGTTTAAACTAGCCTTGTGGTGATCATTTTGCAATATAAAAAATATCGAATCATTATGTTATACACCTGAAACTAATATAATGTTATATGTCAATTATATCTCAATTTAAAAAAAAAAGTTAAAATGCTTAAATGACCTGATCTCAACCCACTTCTCTTCTTCACATATTAGCAAACTACCAATGCTTCAAGTTGCGCTGTCCAATGTGGTAGCCACTAGCCGAAAGGAACTATTTAATTATAAATTAATTAGAATTAAATAAAACAAAGAATTCAGTTCCTCAGTCACACTAGCCACATTTCAAGTTTCAAGACTTGTTTGTTTCAAGGGCCACATATGACTAATGGCTACCGTACTGGACAGCACAGATACAGAACACTTCCATCACTGGAGAAAGTTCTGTTGGACAGCACTGGGTTCAAGATTTGTTTTTGTTTGTTTTTTAAAGAACTCAGGGCCTGTGCAATCTTCAGAGAACCATATTGTGAATTATTATACTTGCTATATAATTCTCCATAAAAGGAGGCTAGGTGAGAAATTCCTGATGGGGTTGGACCAAGGCATAGGGAAAGGGTTAGCACAGAAGTGGAAAAAATGAATAGCAAAAAGACAAAGCAACATCATGCAGCTGAGGGATCAAGCTTGAAGAGGAATTCAGGGCATCTGCATTCTATTCCCTATTATGCCAATGATTCATTAAAAATATATATTTTTTAAATTTTTGTACTTGGTACTTATTAACTGTTACTTGATTAGACAGTCTCTTCACTACTTTGGCCCCTGGTTTTCTCTTCTACAATACAAATTTGAATTGGACGATCTCTAAGATTCCCTCTAGCTTTGTACAGTTAAAACACACAAACACACAAAATGAGAAGGTGAGAAATAAGGGCAAAAATAAAAGAGAACAAGATCATTGCATACTGGCGGTGGAAACTGGCACTCCTGTCAACTTGGCACAAGTTCTCATCTTGAGGATAAGATTTGGATACCACCAAAGGAAGAAAGATTTAACTCAATTCAGTAAATACTTATTGAGCAATTATTTGCAACAAACTACACTATTTGGAAGTAGCACCCAAAAAAAACTGATTAACCCTAAGTTAAGACCAAATATGTGGAAGGAATCAAAGACTCACAAAACTTTAGATTGAAAGACTGGTTCATTAACATGTACAGTAATAACCTAACTGGCCCAGTACTAAAAAACACATAAGTATCTGAAAACCTTCTTGAGGAGATACAACTAACAAATTATATTAAATCATATACAAAGTACAAACACATACCAAATTCAAAATTCATACTCCGTTTCTTTTATAGAGAATATAAAACGCTACAGGTACTTGGGAATAGGAAGACACCAATTGGCGAACCTAATTTCTCTAGAACCCACACTTAATTAAGTAGTCCTACATTTTCTGGGTTAAATATTCTTGACTTTAGTGAAAGTTACTGGAATTAAATAAATTCTCAATTTGTTGTGCGAGACAGAATAAAACGCAACTGAAATGCCTGCCTCTACTATCTTCTACTGCACACTTCTCACTTTTCAGAGGCACGGTTGGTCCTATTTCCTAGGATCAAAGGGGAGAGAAAACCTTCCCCATCCTTTTTCAGGGAATTAAGATTTAATATGAAAATTAAAAATGATTTTTAGGACCAAGATAAATTACATTTGATATTTTACCTTGCATAAGCTAAGGCAACCAGTGAGTCGAGTCACCTCTAAGATTTCAAACTCATTAAAGTCCCAAACCATACCCGTGAATATTTTGGAGCAGAGGAGAGTGAATATTAAAGCTTTCCATCAAGGAAAACAGGAAGAAAGGATTTTGGCAACAAGCCTTTACCTTAAAAAGGCAGTTTTTTAGTACCCCAGCTACTAATCCCACGCCAAGCACGGCGCGGCGCGGCAACACTGGCGAATTTGAAAACAAACGTTGGCAAAGGCTCTGGGTGGGGGTGGGGGGGGGACTGGTAAAGGAGTTAGTAACTGACAGCTCGGCCTCGAAGCGAGAAGCCTCAAGTAGGTCAGACTGTGTCAACGGTTTGAAATCCAGAGTCCACACCAGTGGGTTTAGGAGAGTAGAACAGCAAGAGGTAAGCAGGGGATTGGCGTCTTTCACTACTAAAGGGGCGGGATATCGGAACCGAGAGAGACCTAGAGCTCAAGCGCGGGGCAGTTCGCCTGCTCTCACCTCTCTTGGGGCCCTTGATCAGGGGCACCCCTCCAGTCCTCTCGCCGTTTTCCTGCTTATCCTTGTGCTTGAGATCGGAAGGAACGCAGGAGCTGGGGTCACCATCAGAGCTGCGGTGGTGATGATGCCTGTGCCGCTCCTTGTGGCCCTTATGCTTGGGCCCGGCCGCGCTCACCGTCAGGGGCGAGAAGGTGAAGAGGGCCGAGGTGCCTGGGGCCGGGAGCTGGGCAGCGACAGCAGGCCCGGCGGGTGCCAGCGAAGGTGGCGGCGGAGGTGGCAGGAGCAGAGGCTCAACAGGCCCTGGGACGGTTGGGGCTGCATTCGTTGGCGGCAGCGGCCCGGGATGTTGGCGGCTGCGACGCCGCCGGTGAGGGGGAGCGAGAGGGGGGTCCTGGCTCGGCCGCCCCCGCTTCTCCTGAGACCCCCCGCTGCTCGCTCGGCGCTGCCGCTTCACTCCCCGCGGCGAGACCCCAGCGTGGGGTTTCTCCTTCCCCTCTTTGTCCGGCTCCTCCTGCGCCGCCACCGCCCGTACTACGCGCACCGCTCCGACCTGCGCAGCCATTTCACCCACAAACACACATTTAAATGGCCCGACCGCCCCCCCGTCCGCGTATCGCGCAAGCGCCTCCCGCGCACGGCCCGCTGGGCATTGAAGTCTCTCCGCCGCCCTCCACTTCTCGGCCGCTCTTCGTCCAGAGCTGAACATGCCGGAAGCGGCAATTTCCAGCGCTTCTCCGCAAGCCTCTCCAACCGAGCTGTATTGTAGAGCACCCTGGGCCGCGCAGAGCCTCATGGGAGCGGTAGTTCCTCGGCTACCCCCGCCGCGTCCCTGGCTCTGTGAGTGGAGGAGCGGAGAGAGAGCGTGCGCCGAGTCACGCTTCGGCCTGCGACGCAACCGCCGCTGGGCGGAGAATTGCCGCCAACCGCCTTAACGGCTGAAACAATGTTGATGGCTCTGAGTCCGTCGGCGCGTTCCCATGATCATCTGCCTGTGTCCCTTGGTCGTTTTACGCAGAGTAGGTGATATCCATAGTTACTTCTAAATTTCATATTCCTCTCCTAACCTTTGTGAGGTAAAAGCATCTCCGGCGATGAAATGAAGAGGAAAGGGGGAACTTAGTAATATGTAAAATGAGGGCCATTTTGCTTTAAAATCGAATGGGGCTGCAATTCAGAAATTTTTTGAACCGCCTCACGGGCATTGCTATGGTTACAGTCACAGGCGTAACAAGGCAGGTGCAAGAACTGTCTGGGAGCCTGGTGAGCGCCGCCCCACCTCGCCATTTAATGTCCGCACAGGTAAAGTCCATCGTTTATTTTGAATACATCCCTACAGTTAGACGAAGAAATTCTAGATGGAAAACCATGTTTTAAGTTTTTTTTAATAAGATTTTTTTCAAGTCCTAAGTATAAGGTTGCATAAATTTGAAAAATATGTCTACCGGAGAACACTCCAAAAATCATCACAGTTCAACAACGTTGCTGCTCAGAAATTCATTTACAACTTCATTGTCACTTCAGATTTTACCTAAGATTCTTTTAATGTATTTGGTCCTTCAAAAAGATATTTGGAAGTAATTGATTACAGTGATGTACTCGGATACAATTACTGTGGTTTGATACCACTAAGATACCTGGAGAAGTATTCAGCTTAATGAACATTACACTAAAGTTAGCTTAAAAACAAAAAGGTTTACTGAGCACCTACTGTGTACATTGTACTACAATAAACAGGTAATAATATTTCATCCAATTTGCGCTATCGTTAGGCTTCCTAATGAAAAATATTGAAGTACAAATGCTGTTTAAGTATTTCATGTTTCTAAAAGTTGTAAACCTTTTTTTAATTTTAAAAAAGGTAAATCATTATGAGAACTCGGGAATCCTTTGTAATAATTACCCACTAACTTATTTGTAACATAAAATTAGATTTGAAAGATCAGATTTTCTTAAGGTAGATCCATCTTCATATAGAAATTTTTTTAATCTAGCAGTACTTCTAATTGGTTGGATATGTTGCACATGTTTATGTAGGACGTTTGAAATGAAGAAAATGCTGCCAGATAGCTGTTTTGTCGATTACTCTTCTAGATTTGGTAATTTAATAATTTTGGTTAAAACTTATCAGAAATGTAGTTGAACATCTTGTTAGTTGGTATATCCAAATAAAATAATGATTGTCATTATTTACATATTTTATTTTCTTAAATATAGCTTCTTACTACTCTAGTTTCCCACAACGTTTGGGAAGATGTGCAAGGTATGCTTTATTTAGGCAAAAATAACTCCCAGGGAATAGTCACTGTCACAAGCAGTAATTTTGTGCTGCAACCACAAGCTAAGATTTTTTTTAACATGTTTTATAGTAAATTCTGGCAATGTAGACATTTAATTGAGATCCAATTCTTAGAAATCTTTCAAAGTTCATATTTATGTAGAAAATTAGAATAAAAATAACTTCCAAAAATGAAAAGTAAGTCCATTCTAAAACTGTTTCTCATACAGCATTCTCCACATAAGCTCAAGTGACAAACTTTTATTTGGGGTTTCCAACCCAATGAAAGTGTAACACTTCTGGCACTTATTTGAGTATTGCTTTTCTTGTAAAAGCCATTAGCACGTTACCATATCTTCATTGTTGAAATTATGAATATAGAGCACTTATTTTAGCTAGCAATATTTTATTAGTTTTATTTACAGATGCACTTGCAGCCTATATTCCAAAGTTGTGTTAAATATTCCAAGTTGATGGTGGGTCCCTTGGTCCTTTGGGTTTTGAAAAACGATTTGCAAAACCTGGGAACAAAAATAAAATTGAATGAAAAAAGAAAGATTTTTTATATAGAAATGAATACTTGGATTTTAGAGTGTATTGTAATACATGCAAGTACATGGGTTTTTTCCAGAAGGTTAGGCAGCATCTTTGATCAATTTAGTAATAGATTGTAAAGTTATAGTAATTAAGTTAATGCTTAAATGATAACAATAGAATACTTATAACATTTTAAATTTGTAGAACACTTAGAAATTTAATAATGGTAATAATTAGATGAAGAATCCTGGTTATAATAGCCTTTGGTAATTCAGCATATAATATTTTTTTTCCAACTTTATTGGGATATTATTGATATATAACATGTAAGTTTCAGGTGTACAACATGATGATTTGATACATGTACATATTGTGAAATGATTACCATGTTAAGATTAGTTAACACTTCCATCCCCTCACATAAATACCATTTTTTTGTATGGTGATTACATTTAAGATTTACTCTTTAACCACTTGTAAGTATATAATACGGTACTATTAATTATGGCCAGCCCTGGGGTCTAGTGGTTAAGATTCCGCGCTCTCACTACCATGGCGTAGATTCATTTCCCGGGTTCCTTTCCCAGTCACTGAACCACACCACCTGTCTATCGGTTGTTATACTGTGCCGGGCTGCATGTTGCTGTGTTCCTGAAAGCTATGCCACTGGTATTTCAAATACCAGCAGGGTTACCAGTGGTGGACAGGTTTTAGCGGAGCTTCCAGACTAGACAGACTAGGAAGAAGGATCTGGCCACCCACCTCCAAAAAATATTGGCCATGAAAACCCTATGAATAACAGCAGAATGATGTCTAATATAGCGCCGGAAGGAGAGAGGATGGCACAAAAAGACCAGACAGGGTTCCGCTCTGCTGTACACAGGGTTACTAGGAGTATAATCGACTCCATGGCACTAACAACAACAACAGCTGTTACAGTTAACCATGCTGTACATTAGATTCCCCAGAACTTATTCATCATATATCTGGAAGTTTGTACCCTTTGACCAACATCTCATTTCTCCACCTCCCAGCCCCTGGCAGCCACCATTCTACTTCATATGTCTATGAGTTGGCTTCTTTAGATTCCACATAATAAGTGAGAACATACAGTTTTTGTCTTTTTCTGTCTGACTTATCTCACTTAGCCTAATGCCCTCAAAGTCCATCCATGTTATTGAAAAGGCAGTATTTCCTTCTTTTTTATGGCTGAATAATACTCATATCTTTATATGAATATGTATATGAAATATGTATGTATTGTCTTTATCCATTCATCTGTCAATGGATGCCTAGTTGTTTCCATGTCTTGGCTATTGTAAATAATGCTGCAATGAACGTGGGGTGCAGATATCTCTTCCAAGATAGTGATTTCATTTCCTTCGGATATATACCCAGAAGTGAGATTGCTGGATCATACGATAGTTCTATTTTTAATTTTTTGAGGAACTTCCATACTGTTTTCCATAGTGGCTGCACCAATTTATATTCCCACTAACAGTGCACAAGAGTTCCCCTTTCTCCACAGCCTTACTAACACTTAACTGTTGTCTTTTTGATAATGGCCATTCTGACAGGTGTGAGGTGATATCTCGTTGTTTTGATTTGCATTTCCCTGATGATTAGTGATGTCAAGCATCTTTTCATGTACCTGTTGGCCATTTATATGTCTTTTTTGGAAAAAAGTCTGTTGAAGTCCTTTGCCTAGTTTTTAACCAGATTGTTTGTTTTTTAAATAATATCCTTTTATGTACATCTTTTCACTCACCACCCACTCATCAAAAAAACAAAACTGGGAAATTTCAATTTCAGAAATATAAGCACTATTGCTTTGCAAAATTTTTGTATTAAATCCAGTTATACTTCTGCTTTGGCTCAGAAAGCCCTCAATTTGTTATGAGATTATGTTTGAAAAGCTTAGAAAAAATAAAATAATAAACAATCCTGAAAAACTAAGTGGTTAATCATTTTTATTTATCTCTCTCCCTCAAACACTCCCCTCCTCTCCTCCCCCACAAAAGAAGGCAGATGAGGAAACTTTGCACAACCAAATAAGACTATTTCTGTGTACTTTCAAAAGATTTGTAGGTTGATAACATTGCTTTCTTATCACTTCAGCAATATATGACTTTCCTTTTCTTTAATAAAGGTATATTTTCAAGGTACTCTTACACTTAACAGTTTTAGCGGCTCAATTTGAGCAATGACAGCTTTGAAATACCAAGGGAGAACAGAGAATGGAAAACTCAAAGATATTCCTAAACCTTTAATTTCATCATCATACAAAATTGTGGGTATTATATCCTTACAGAACTGATGAAAGGATCAGATGAGCTATTTGGTAAAGCATCCAGCACAATGCCTGGCACATAATAACTACTCAACTGTTGCTTAAATCTGAACTACAAAAAACTATACCAGAACTGGAAGAAAAGGAGAGTAGAAAAGAGGAAAAGAAAAGAAGATAAAAACAAAAAATCCACTAAAATTACATTTATTGATGGTGATGGTAAAAAAATTGAGGGAGGGGCACACAGTCTACATTTTATTCCTCTGAGTGGTAAAAATGAAGACAGAAAGAAAAATATTTCAGGTTAAATAGTTTCACACAATAGTCACAAAATTGTCTCTTAAGTCCAGGTGGCTTGATTGCAACCCAAGTGGACTGAGAATAGAAGTAAGAATATAATATGCAAGTACTAAGTATCTGAAATTTGAGGAATACCTACATTCAGTCTTTTTCACTGATCAATTCTCAACATTTTAGAACAGTAGTGAGCCACCTTTTTTTGCATGGAGGCCAATTTAGGAAAAATAAAAATTTGTATAAATCACACAATTTTTTCATTCAAATTTAAATACTTTTTTAAGTAAAATATCCTTACAATTTATATCATTCCTTTATAAAAGAGAACCAATGAAAAAGTTAAGTGCTGCTTTTTAAGTAGGTAAAATGTTCAAATCTAGGCATATTTGAGAAGAAACATGGAGACAGCTCTCTAATATTTTATCTTCATATTAGATCACAGACTGTTGTGAAGTTCGATAGGCCATGAGTTAATCAAATGGTATCACTGATTGAGGAAGCAGGGAACACTTGTGTTACAGGCAAAGTGTGGTGCTTTTTTCGTTGGTTATACAATATTCTATATGGATTTTTTTAACTAAATGATTTCATAGGAATAATAACTTATTTTTTTCTAATTATAACATTTTAAACCATAGAGTTAATGTAATCCAAGTAAAATTTTACAGCCCAAGAAACATACCCAGACATTCTAGTTAAATATTTTGCTGAGGTGAGATAGGGACCATAACTGAGGTATGGCAGAGATTGCTACGTGTCCACCAAAATCTTTGCTTGCTTCTTCAGGAATAGAATTGTGTATGGGCAACTGTCTGACCAGCACTATTACATTTCCCACTTTCTCTTGCAATTTAGATATAGCACATATCTAAGTTCTCTTTAAGAGAGCGTGAGCTGACGTGATGTTGCCACTGCCACTTAAGGCAGTACCTTAAGAGCAACAGAGGAGGCCACACCTTTTTCTCTCATCTTGCCACCTACAATCTGGATGTGACAGCAACCCAGTTTTGACTATACAGATTAGGACAATACTGTAAAGCAGTAATTCTCAAGGGGTGGTCCCAGGGATACCTGGAAGTCTCCTAGACCTTTTCAGGAGGTCTGCTTTTTGCTTAATAATTTTTAGAAGAAACATCCTACATTAATTGCTATGCTTCTTAGAAAAATTTGTAGCATACATGATACTACCTTAAATAGTATTACAAATTTATGTCATATAGAATAATAGAATGCTTAAAATATAGAATTATCATTTTAAATTTATACCTTGTACTTAGGGGTGATTGGGTAAATAATGCTTGTTAAACTGTCAGAATTGTGCTTCAGCTCCTATTGTTGAATGAGTTGATACAAGATTAACAGCAATTGCTGTTTTTATCACACTTGTGTATTTTTTATAATTTTACTTAGATATAAACTGGAGTATTATAGCTTCTCGGAATTTCTTCATTTGGCTAGTCACATTCATTTACTACATGTCAACATAATCATTTGGTTACCTAGCTTTATTTTCTGCATATACTAGGCAATTCAATCCTAGGTAAGATGTTTTGAGGTAGCTGAGGTCAAAAATAAAAAGAACAATTGCATGGAAAAGAATATAAATACAAGGATCCGTACATGCAACTTTAAATTATATTTAAGGTTGTATCTCTTATACTGTAGATGAATAATTTAGATAGACAATTTTTTTTAACTCTGCTAGAAAATAACACACATACCAAGATTCAGAAAGGACCTGGAGTTATTTGACTGAACAGAGTCTGCAGGCTTGTTTGGTCGGGAAGAATTACAGATACCTAGAATCAAAAGAAAAAATGTAAGGGAAGGAACGGAGGCAGATTCAGATTAGTGTTGTAATTGTTGAGATTAAACATTTCCTCCAAAATAATTAATACTACCAAATAAACATATCACTAGCAAATGTAACAAAATATAGATGCTTATAAATGGGTTGGCACTATAATCTTCTCATTTTTGTGTGCATATTTTTTTAAAAGGTTTCTTTTCTTTGCAACCGATTATATAGTAAAGCCCAACTCTAAAGAGAATCGCCAGAGGTTTTCGGAATAAGATCCATTATATTGTGAATCAACATTTTGGGGGATTCACATTTTGGCTTTCAACTTCATCTTACTTTGCACTCTGACCACTCTGAGTACACTTGTAAATCATTTGTACTCTGCATTAGCTCATCCTTCGCAAGTCTGTGCTTTTTCTCACACCATCCTCTACTCCTGGAATATCTTTTTTCAATTTCCAGCCTACTTTTTTTTCATTGTAGATGATTCTAGTTAGGCCCAGAATCTCCCAAAAGCATTGTCATGTTGCTTTGTTTTGCTATTTTAGCTACTTAGAGGTAGGCTTAAAAATATATTTCTCTTCATAGCACCTTAATATATTCATGTATCAGTTTCTGCCGATTTTTGAAAACAATCCATTGAAAACATGGTCTACATTTTGCATGTGCACTGTCTAGCAGGGAAAAAAGATGATTTCAGGTTTGTATGAACTTTATAAAAACAACATATAATTGGGGAGAAATTATTAAATATTCACCCTTTTTTTGACTTGCAGCATTTTCAGAATACAATGTGGGGACTGCATATATATGTTTGTATACACTAGGATTCTAGAAATACCTCCTCCTTCCTGGAGGTACTTGAGGGTGAATCACTGGAGTACATAGTGAATTTCAATCAGGTTCAATTAAAATATATGTTTATTGAGTACTTAACTATGTGACAAGCATTGGACTAGGCACTGAGAATAGAGACATAAATAAGAGATGGGTGAAGGTGAGAAAGTTCAGGAGATATCATCTCTATACTGCATATGAGCTGAGAGTTGTACACATCTCTTAGAAAGAAAACAGTTGTCCCAAAAGGGAATATTGGTTTTGTACAACAGGAGACAAAGATTCTGTGTGTGTGTGTGTGTGTGTGTGTGTGTGTGTGTATATCAGAGGGAACTGCTATTTTGCATATTAACTTGTCATAGATTTTTTTTACAAAATAGCAATGCTGTATGGTTGAACCTAATATAAGTACTTAGTTTTGTTATTAAGTTATTACATAAACAGGACCGATTATCCTGCAATTTACTTTTCTCATTTAATGAAATGTCTTGATTTTCTTCTATGGCAGCTCCAGTAGAACTATATTATGTCATAGTTATTTTTATGCCGCCTACCTAGCGTTAATTCCTTCTTCTGATGCTACAACTTGAATTTTCCTTTAGGAAACCACCCCTCCCCAATTTTCAGCTCCCATACTTCTGGTGTAGCTGTTCTACTCTTAGATCAAGGAACTGCCTTGTGACTAGAGCTGATTTTCAGTTGGTACATTGCCAGGGTCACAAGTTGTTTAGGTGTGACCTCATTTCTTATTGGTCAGTGTCTGTGTGTAACAATTGTTAATTAGGTATGACAGTGTCCTGCTTAATCAGAGCATTGAAGATACTAGTAATAATTGGTTGAGGGATGGGCAAATGAACCAAGCCAAGACAATGAGGCCCAATCAGCACTAGTCATCAGACTGTTGCTTGAGCAACCAGGAAAGAGCTCATTTTTTCCATCATAAGCCTCAAACTACACGGTAAAAGCCTGCCTATGAATGAGCTAATGCAGAGTAGAACAAAACCAGGAGATGTGGAATGAGATAATTAGGTCCTGATTACATCATTTGAACTCTTGGTTACAGGCCAATAAATTCCCATTTTTCTGCTTAAGCTAGCTTAAGTTAGGTTTTCTGTCACTTGCAACTGAAGGATTTCTGAGCAATTAAAGTTTCCCATCAAAAGTAGGCATAAGGCATCATAGTTGGCAGCTTTAACTTTTGTCATCCTATAATTCATTCTCCATATAGCAGCGAGAATGCTGTTTTTAAAAAACAGATCATGTAACTGCCTAAAACTCTTCTATGACTTCCCATTGCGCTTAGAATAAACTCTAACTACTTAACGTGACCCATAAGGATCTAATCAGCCACACCTTAACCCTCTCGCCTCTTTAATTAATACCCTGCAGCTATGGTGGCTTCCTTTGAGTTCCTACAACACATCAAACTCAGATCTCAGAGCTTTTGTATATGCTGTTGCCTCTCTCTGGAATGCTTTTCTCCCTGCTCTTCTGGCTGGCTCCTCCTTCATGGCTCAGATTTAACATCACTTTCTTAGAAAGGGCTTCCGGGACTGTCATTCTAAAATAGATTCCCTTTGTTATTCCCTCTCATAATTACCTTCTTGGTTTCCTGCGTATCATTTATCACAATGTGTTATTATGTATGTGTGAATTTACTTGTTTAATGTCTGAATCCCTCACTAGACTTAAGTTCCACAAAGGCAGAGCTGAAAATCTGTTCTGTTCACCATCATATACCCAGTGCCTTGCAGAATGCCTGGCACATAGTAGGCACTCAGTGAATATTCAGTGAATGAATGAATGAATGAATGAAAGACGCTAAGATTAGATGCTAGCTTAAAACAAAAGATGAAGAATCCTAATTTCATTAAAGGAGGATCAGATTTAACTACAGACCAGTAAGTGATCCAGGCTAAAGGGAGAACATATGGAATTCGGGAGTCATGAACCATCTGGAAGGGCAAGAGGACGTGTATGCAGATATAGACAGATAAGTCTAAAGCTTAAGAATCAGTTTTGGGAACCAGATATTGTTCTTCATTTAAGGACAAAAGACCAGAGGATGAAGGCGGGTGAGAAATAGAAATTAGCCTAGACCTCGAGAATGATCTGGAAGGTCTTACTTAGAAATAAGACTCAGGGTCTCTGAGAGTTCCACCATATCTCTAATCTATGCCAATCTAAATCTACCTGAAGTTTCTGTGTCTTTGATATCCCCAAGACCAGGTCGAGCTAGAGAAAGAAAGATTTTTTTTTTTTGCAGGGAAGGATTCACCCTGAGCTAACATCTGTTGCCAATCTTCCTATCTTTTTTTTCTTCTCTCTCCAAAGCCCTCCAGTACATGATTGTATATCCTAGTTGTAAGTCCTTCTAGTTCCCTATGTGGGGTGCCACCACAGTATGGCAACTGACTCACGGGTGGTGTGGCTCCGCGAGTGGGAAACCAACCTGGGCCACCGCAGTGGTGAGAGCACTGAACTTTAACCACTAGATCATCAGAGCTGGCCCAAGAAAGACTTTTATTTATTATTTTTTCTTTTGGTGAGGAAGATTGGCCCTGAGCTAACACCTGTTGCCAATCCTCTTTTTGCTTGAGGAAGATTAGCCCTGAGCTAACATCTGTGCTAGTCTTCCCCTATTTTGTATGTGGGTCGCCTCCACAACATGGTTTGATGAGTGGTTTAGGTCCATGCCTGGGATCTGAACCCACAAACTCGGGCAGCCGAAGTGGAGTGCGCCGAACTTAACTGCTATGCCACGGGGCCAGCCCCGAGATTTTTTTTTAGAGAAAGAAAACTGGATGTTTCATAAACTAAGCTGATCAAACCAATCTTTAGTTGGCTATTGAAGTCACTCATTTCTTTGCTTTTGGCTGTTGTATTTCCCCTGTTTTATACTATAATTTCCTCTTGAATGTTTAAATTCTCTTTTGACTGACTTTAGAGGAAAGAGTATTTTCCAATCATACTTTAAACCATGAAAGGTGAGAAATCAGTTCGCTTGAGAGATCAGGTGTGGTGGCAATGAAAGCAGACTAGCACAAGTTTATGGATAGGGAGATAGAGTAAAAACTCAGAAGAAGAGTAAGATTCAGCTGTAAACCTTCTTACTTAGACAGTACCTTAAATCAAGTTTTCTCAGTGCTCTTTGTCCCTCCCTATAACCAGTAAAATACCAAGTAGCTGTTTGGTCCTTGATTACCCAAATGGATCAAATTTGTAAAAAGTATATCACCATGTTTCATATACTTTGTAGTTGTAAATAAGGATTTCTAAGATAATTCCCTACAGTTTCAGGAATCTTTGGGTTTTGTTTTCATGACAATATAGCAAAAATAGTAAGCAACAGACTTTTATTGCTAACAGTACTTAGTAAAAATGGAAATGTGTCAATACTTTGCTTATTTCATTAAATCAACACATTTGTTTCACAATATGCTTCACTATAACTATTTTCAAAGAAAATACATCTGAGGTTAGACTGTTGGAAATATTTGAATACACTTGTACGACAGCATCTTAGGATGGGTAGAAAGTGCCAAACATACTATTATTCCTGTCTATTAAACAGAAACTTTCCCTCCCCTTACTCCCTACCCAATATTAGCATTGTGGAGCCCAGCACAGTACAAGGCCTGGGGTTGATTTTTCTGATCTGTAGGACCCTAGGGAGGCTCTATTTAGGAATAATATTGTTAATTTTCTACAGAGTGGTTATATAAGGAAAAATTATGTATTTGTGAAAGTAGCATATATATTCTAAAAAATACATATAAGGAAACTTACTCTTTTTCATGTTTCGCAAAATTTTCAAACTCTACAAAAATGAAGAAAGGAAAAATGTTAGTTTTTTTCTTGTCAAATCCAAAATACTTCAAGTAGAAATATAGACTCCAGTCAAAAGGATTAATTTCCTAGAAAAGAGCCATCAAAATGCACAAAATTATTTTTCAATCTTGTCCTTTTTAATTCAGTGCAAAATCCACACTTGATTTTATCTTGCTATTTTTCCCACCCGTGTAAGAATCATACCATGTGTTTAGATATAGTGCTGTCACAATATCAGGGGAAAAAGTAGAGTTCCTACTTCTCTTCTTTATTAGGACCATTCCAGAACCCACAATGGCTTCTGAAGGTAGCTGTGAGCCATAGCCATTCCCATTCTAGCCAAGAATTTTTGCCAATCATATTCTGTACTCAATTCGCTAAGATCCACTCTATATTGTTAGCCGTGCTACTTCCTTCTACCCCCTTTCAGCAAACCCATGTCCTCTGCCTCCTTTATAGTGGAGTCTAACTTATCTCTTCCAGGAACCTACTAGATTTCTTTTTTTTCTTCACATTTCCTCAGCATATATGTTTTTAATCTGTTCCATGGTATTTTATTCTTCCTAATAATTTTCATGTTGTTTCTCATATAGGCAATCTATTCCAGTAGATTCACTGTACACTTTTCAAGGGCAAGTAGATATTCTTTATGACATTTCTACTTTCCTAACACCTAAAAGAAATGTATGTACTCTTCAATATAATAGATATTTAATAAATTCTTGTTTTTGAAAACTTTTATTTATATTAAAAAAAATAGATCATTTATTTATAATTCAAAATATTCTAGTAAAAATGCTCCCATCCTTTTCTCCAACTACCCGGTTTCTAATCCTCCTCCACAGATAACCATTGTTGTTAGTTTCTTATGTATCCTTCCAGAGTTACTTATGAATATATAATACAAATATAGATTGTATTTTGTCTCTTTTAAGCAAAAGTTAATAAATTATATATAAATATAAGAAAGTCCTCATTCTTTTTTTAGCTACATAGTATTCCATTGTATGCATATACCATGATTCATAATTTATTTAATCAGTTCCCCTAATGACTAACATTTATGTGGTTCCTAACTTGTCTGCTCTTATAAATAATCTGATTTAATTTTAATCTAATTTTCCATCTTAATGCTGGCCCTGGGGAGTGGAGACACCTTCAGTAATGAAAAAGCCTCTGACATGTTTCCTAAAACTCCCATCTTCTTTACCTTACTCCTTGTGAAATTTTTTCCAGGAGTCTTCAATGTCTGTTTTGAAGATGTTGAATTTTCCATGGTATTAGGACAGCTAGTAGAATAAGTCTCTATAGATTGAGCCTGCATACCTAAAAAAAAAAACAGTTTATTGCATAGCTTCTTAAGCTTTCAGGTTATATGTAGGTATATGTTCAGTTATTCTTTGTTATTTTTATTTTTTTGGTGAGGAAGATTGGCCCTGAGCTAACATCCATTGCCAATCATCCTCTTTTTGCTGAGGAAGAGTAGCTCTGAGCTAACATCCATGCCCATTGTCCTCCCTTTTGCACGTGGGACGCTGCCACAGCATGGCTTGATGAATGGTGTGTCAGTCTGTGCCTGGGATTCGAACCTGCAAACCCTGGGCCGCCAAAGTGGAGTGCCTAACCACTACACCACTGGGCTGGCCCCTATGTTCAGTAATTCTTGGCTTGGCTTTTTTATGCATTATTTTTACAATACATTATGGGTTTTTTAAATATATTGTTTTAATCTTATTTAAACATTGTTTGTACCTTCTCCATTTAGGTCCTACTTTATTGTTAACCTTTTTTTTTCTTCCCAATGAGGAAGACTGGCCCTGAGCTAAAATCTGTAGCCAATCTTCCTCTTTTTGCTTGAGGAAGATTGTCCCTAAGCTAATATCTGTGCCAGTCTTCCTCTATTTTGTAAATGGGACACCACCACAGCATGGCTTGATGAGCAGTGTGTAGATCTGTGTCTGGGATCCAAACCTACGAACCCCCGGCCGCCAAAGCAGAACGCGCGAACTTAACCACTACACCACCAGGCTGGCCCCTATTGTTAACCTTTTAACAGTCTCATTTTTATAACTTTCTTGAGAGGAAAGTACTGCCACTTACAATCTTCATCAGCAAGAAAGAAGGATTCAGGGGTTCTTTCTGGGAGTGGAGGTGGCGGGGAAGAAGAACGATCTTGATGTAGATCTGTGATAAGAAGAGTATACAACAAAGCCAAAAAAAAAAAAAATCCGTCAGTTAAAAATCATAAGTCAAGACCCCTTTTGGTTTTGTATAACTTTTCCAGTTTTTCAATATTAACCTACAACAACCGGGTAAATTATCTGAACAAAGATGAGCCTCAAGAACTTTGTTCTTCTAGCTCTTTAGCCAATGAGCCTAGGATTAATCAAAAACTTGTAGCTCACTTACAAAAGTATTCTTCCAAAGAAATTGAACCTGAATTTAATTAAGCTTCTAGTTCTAACTACCATTTTACAGAGAATCCTGGGGGTAGAGGAACATCTTAAATAAAACCATGAGGATACAAACAGCCAAATTCAGAATATTAGCAGTCTTTAGGACAAATGACCCATTCTCTTCTACAAATAAATGGCATGAGAAAATATAAAAAGGAAGGAGAACTGTCACAGATTTTAAAAGACTTAAGAAACATATAAACCTAATGCAATGTGTAGACTTTGTTTGAATCCAGATTCAAATAAACCAACTGTAAAAAGACATTTTTGAGACAATTTGAGAAAGTTGAACAAAGTCTGGATATTAGATAATACTAAGGAATTACTGTTAATTTTATTGGTGTGATGCTATTAAGGTAGGTTTAAAATGTGTGTTTGAAAATTTCCATAATAAAGAATTTTAAATAATGGAGCTATTTTCCCATGATGTAAATCCTAAAGATACAAATGGTGTATAACATTCTCATTATACAGTGCTGAGTATAATTATATACTAATGTCTTTTGAAAATGAAAATGAAGTTAAGTGCTCGACTTTCATCTGTCTTTGGTCATTGGGTTTCTGAGGCCTTAGAATTTGTCTGTAAAGTAAGTTCACTTGTTTATTTCTTATATGCTGGGTAATATGCAAAGTAAAGTACAATTCTTATTTCCAGCACCTGATACAATAACTGGCATATAGTAGGCACTTAATAAATATTTGACAACTACCCGGAAGTAGCCTATCATCTTCCAGTTTGCTGTTAAGTAATATTCTGAAAACTAAAGCTATATTTCAGTTAATGACATCCTGTCAAATATCTTCTTAAAATACCATTTTCATCTTAATACTCTCCTGAGGAAGAACCTACAGTGCCTATTACTTACTGCATTAAATCTAAATTCTTCTGCGTAGCTTTGTGTGTGTGTGTGATAAAATACACATAAAATTTGCTGTTAATGACATTTACTACAGTCATAGCGTTATGCAATATCACCACTGTCTAGTTCTAAAACATTTTCTTCACCCGTAAAGGGAAACTGCACACTCATTTAGCAGTCACTCCCCATTACCCCTAGATTAGATTGGCAACCATGAATCTGCTTTCTGTCCATATAGATTTGCTTGTTCTAGATATTTCATCTGCCTAGCTTTTAAATCCTTCAGAATCTTGCCACATTTTATCTTTCAAAATTTATTTTCCATATTTCCCAAAATAGAACATGTATTGCAATTAATCTACTCACCATTCCTCTGTACTCATCATGCTCATTTCTACCTTTGAGTCACTGTTACCCTGATCTCTGCTCCTGGAATTCCCTTCTTTTTCCTCTGTCTGTCCATATGCTTAAATTTCTTCTACTCAGTGAAGCCTTTCCTAACCACTCCAGAGATACTTCCCTTTTTTCTAGATTCCGGGTGATTATAATCAATGACATACAGATTATCACTTAATGGTTGCAAGTGCCTATTAATTTTTTCTACCCAATGTGAATATAAGCATTAAGGAGTACCTTTTCTTATATATCCTGCCTATTCTGACACTGTATAAAGCACACAGAACTTGCTTAGGAAATGCTCATTTAATAGTTATATAATAAAAATTATAATAGGTAACATTTAATGAAAGCTTATTATTTGACAACCACTATGCCAAAATCTTTATATGTGTTATCTTACTTCATCCTCACAAAAATCCTCTAAGAGTTCTATTATCTTCATTTTATAAATGAGAAAAATCAATAAAGTATATAATATAACCAAGGTAATGCATTTTGATAACTATTGGTAGGCTGGGGATTTGAATTAAAGCCTATCTGACTCCAAAGCCTATGCTTTTTAACCTCTATGTTATATTACCAATGTGTGTATTTGAATAATATGTTAATATGAATAAGTTAAGTAGGCAACTTAAGTTAATAAATTAAGGGAAACTACTACCTGTTCTAATTAATGTGAAGTACCTATCAGTGCCCAATAAGTGTTCGCCGTTGATGTTGTTATTCAATGTATAAAACAAGCAAAGCTCAGGAAAATACTGGAGAAGCAATGGCAAGTTTTAAGTGGCCAGAAATAATTTTTTAGAATAACACTGTTAACAATGGTAAAACCTATGAAGTAGAAATGCTGCAAAGTTGTAAGGGATTCTATTTGAAATAGTTTTTTTAAAGGATTATATGCCAAAGAGCAGAATTCTAAAATCCTGTCTTTACCTTGCCATTGGCAAAACAAAAATCCTAGCCTGGGAAAACCAGAAATCAATCAATAAATAGTAGAAGCTATTATGGGAACCATACCTTCTCCTGAGGTGAATTACTCTAAACCAAATGACCCATTCTTACAGTACAGATTCTTAGGGCTAAGTGTCATCTAACGCCAAAGGAAATATTTTACCTGGTTTGAGACTCCGGAGTTTTACACTCTAAAAAAAAGAAAGAAAGGAAAAGTGAAAGAAGAATATATATACAAATTTACAAACTCAAAGCAATAAGCAGCATTTGTGAAATTGTTTCATATACCTATAGAAATAATTATGAAATATTGACCCTGTTTTTCCTAATTTATGTATGTTGAATTATGAAAAGGCATCCTTAACTCTTAACAGTGATTTTTATATGTCATGGCAATTGGTCCTAAATTGATCCTTTTTTGATTTATTTCCTTCCTACTCAAAACAAATTTAATTGGAGGTAAGTTGTTGACATTGAAGTTACTTCATGACATTGGAAAAGGAGTGATTGTTCTTTGCTCTGGGAGTCGTTAAGATAAAGACCAGGGCCGGCCCCGTGGCTTGGCGGTTGAGTGCGCGCGCTCCGCTACTGGCGGCCCAGGTTTGGATCCTGGCATGCACCGACTCACCGCTTCTCCGGCCATGCTGAGGCTGCGTCCCACATACAGCAACTAGAAGGATGTGCAACTATGACATACAGCTATCTACTGGGGCTTTGCGGAAAAAAAAAGGAGGAAGATTGGCAATAGATCTTAGCTCAGAGCTGGTGTTCCTCAGCAAAAAGAGGAGGATTAGCATGGATGTTAGCTCAGGACTGATCTTCCTCACAAAAAAAAAAAAAGAAGAAGAAGCTTTAAAAAAAAAAAAGATAAAGACCATTATATGTGTGCATATTATTAACAATAATAATAATTACTAGTAAATTAAAAGTGTAATTTAAAAAGGTAGAGAATATTTGCCTACCAGCATTGCAGTTGTTAAGCACTTTTAAATATCTATTTAACTATTTTTCTGATCTCTGAAATTTTAAGATAGTTGGTTCATAGATTATATACAAATGCATGACAGATTGTTGAGAGTGTAGATTTTTCTTCCAGAAGCAGGGAACATTATTCCAAATGGTTTATCTTATATAATAATATGGACATCTGTCATTCAAAAAATTACTCTCTATAATATGTTATCACAGCTAACATGACACAGCCTACCAAATGACTACTCTGAACAAACTACCTACTTATGAAACATTTATTTTTGCCTTAGCTGTCCTTCAAGAATCAGCTCGAATGTTTCCTTTTTCACCAAGTCTTCCTTGATCACTTCCAACTTGAAGGGATCTCCCACACTTCTGAATCTCTTATCTTTCATATGGCACTGATTATATTTGCTTTGTTATAATAAATGTAGACAAAAATAGAGACTTGTGTACACATCCTATATCTCTGCTGCTAAACTGTAAGTTTCCCAAGGACAATAATTGTAGTCTTTTACATCTTTTTATCCCCCACATTCTCTAGCTCATTATTTTTTAAATAGTATCTCCTTAATATTTGTTGAGTGATAGGTGTTTAAAATACAAGGAGTAGGACTATAGCCTGTTGAATTCAAATAAGTAGAGTCAGAAAAAAAGTTACTGACCTTGGTTGGTCTAAGTCTCACAGAGTCATCAAATTTCTTTGATTCAGATGTTCCACTCCATTCTAGTGATGTTCCAATTTTTACCTTTACAGCTGAGGATAAGGATTTGGGAACACTCAGTGGGAATTCTTCTGGAAGAAAGTAAGTGTGGTGCAGTTCTTAGGAGTGTTGTAATTCTTTTAGAAAGCAAATGTTACTCAGCCATAGCACACAGAATATTGAAAGGACCTGAGAAGTAATCTAGTTAATCCACAGTTTATTTTCCACTTACTGAGCTGTACTCACCAGCTTCCTCGACCACAATAAATGATTCAGGTGTCCGTTCAGGAAGTGGAGGGGGGATTTCGTCATCTATCCTTAGAGAAGTTGCTATCCAGAATGTCAGAAATATAATCACAATTTTTAATTAGAAAAATCCAAAGAAAATTCTCATATTCTAAGCTTTATGTAAATTCCATCAAGCATAATTACAAGATTTAAGGTGATATCTGTTCACTCAAGGAAAAAGCTAAATAAATTCTCTCATCTTAAATTACAAACCCAGGAGGATTTTGCTGCTTCTTCAAAGTTTATTATTTATTTTCAAAGCCCAGAAGTATTTTGATTAACTGAGTATCAGTTAATATAATATAAAACATTATATTAATTTAGAAAACTTTGGATTGTTTTCTACATAACTCTTTCCTTTTGTTTTATGTAGAATATACAATAAAGCCTCATGAAGCACTTTGACATGCTGAAGATTCAGTTATAGAGTAGGTGAAATCAAGATTTTAGTATCTCTTCTTCATTTTATAAGAATGAAGAATACGGATGTTTTTGCTTTTTACAAAACAATGGTATAATAGGGTTTTCTATGTTTCTCTAGAAATATTCAGAATTTTTATAGAAAAATACAAATGCTATTTTAAGAAACTGCCACCAGATGGCACACATGTCAATGCTGCTACAATTCTTGAAGAAAAGGATTTGTTTTTTTAATGATTTTGATGCTCCAAGAAGTTTAAGGTATTATGAGTATCTAGAAAAATAAAATTCCTTTAAATTGTAAAATAAGGTACAAGTATATAAAATAATCAAAGAAGGAGCTAGATCCAGATAAAATATTTTTGTAACAAAGCTATGCATCTATCTGTTAAGAAACAGTAAATAATGTTATAGAACAAAAGCTTTCTCTACTTCCTATTTGGGTAGAATGTTCTTTATAAATTTCTGATGATCTTTCTCTTTGCTTTCCTTCATCTTCTTCCACATCAAACTATTATAATCACCTCTAACAGGATATTTACTTCTACTTTCAAACCACTCAGTAAAACAAAACGATACGCTTAATAAGCAAAAATCCAGAATTATAAAAGTGATAAATTATGAAAGTAAAGGTGTATATAAGATTAAAATCTCACACAGAATACTGAACACATAGTCTCATCTACTGTTGTTATAAAAGGACAGGAGGAAATCACTTCTGAGTGACCATGTGGTGCTGTTGATCAAATCTTTTCTGCTGTTCTTTTGGAAATTGCTTTTGCATGTTAAGGGTAAATTGTGGACCTTTGGTATACATTTCTAGGAATGAGGATTGCCTTCTTTAGAAGCACTCCTGCTGGCTTAGATTGTATACCAGATCTGACTGCTTCCACTGCTCCTTGTTTCTTGGACTATTACCTGTTTGTTATTGCTATTTTCAACCTATCACATCATTAAAACACTCCTGGAATTTATTTCTTTGAGGAGGAGAAGGAAGTAGAGAAGGACAGGGGGAGGGTGAGAAGAAACCAAGTCTTCTGTAGAAACAAAGTGAAATATAAAATGCCATACAAACTTAAAAATAACTTACCTATTGCTGCTGTCTCTTGGTTCAGTGGTGGGGGAAAATTGGTCGGAGGATTTAGTGCTAAAGGATCATGTGAATTGTAATAAGAAAAGAGGGTTGTAGAGGATGTTGGCAATGAAGAACAAGGTAAAACAGTTTCATCTTTCTTCTCAGGTAAATCAAGAGACATCTTAGATCCAGCAATACTTGAAGACAATGATGAAAAATAAGGATCTTCTACTAAAGACATGTAAGAATATACCTTAGAAGCACTAGAGTCATGCTGCTTTGCATTAGAGGCATTACACGTTTGGTGCTTAGAGTCATATGGCAGTGAATAATTCAGTTCTGCTGAAGAAACATGCATCACTTTTTGAGCCTGCTCAAGACAAGAATTGTGCAGTTGAGATTCCAAATGAGGAAAATTTTCCTTGATGTCCAACTCTTTGGTGCCTCTCTGTTGTATCAATTCAAAGGGAGTTGATTTGGTCCTCATTATTGGCCCCTTTGAATTAAAATATCTTCCTGCTGCATTTACAGGTTTAGAATTAGGACATGTTTCAAACAAAATGGTGCTCAAGTCTAAACTTTGATGCTTCTGAAGAGGCTCCCCAGCTATTGGAAATGCCTTTGTCTCCCATTTCACGAGTTTGTCAGCGTTTTTGTTACAACTACAGTTTAGCTCCAAAAAGTCAAAAGAACTGCTCTGTTTAGCAGGGTGCAAAACTAATGCACCCTTTTCACTTATTTCAGAAGTCTTGAGGTCAAAGGAAGCAGCTTCTGCAGTTTTCCCCCTTATCTTTAGTTTGTTCTGTTGGTTCATTATTTTTGCTTCATTTATGCTGCTGAAACAAGAAAGAAAGTAATGATGATACTATACCACAAAAAGGCCTCTTCCCTTATCCTCTTCCCAGCATCACAATGAATTATAAGCATGAGATTTGCCTCCCAGACACAATTAGACAACATTTAGGTGGGTAAAATGGTACTCACTCTTTTGGTAACTTAGGAGAATAAGAGTCTGCTCCTAGAGTGGGATTTTGTTCAGGAACTGAATATTTTGCTTGAATCTTCAAGAGAAATAAGTAGGAGATTGTTTTTTCGTGAAGCGATGACAATGAGATATTTCAACATTCTTAAGGTTAAGAAGTTATTTTTCAGAAAATATAAAGATTTTATGTAATTGGTTAAACAGTAGATGAGTTTCAAAATATTGAACCCAGCGAGAGCTTGTTAACATACTGAGATCAAAAGGATCAGAATGAAAGATTAATAGTATTATAGAAACTAGAAAGGATGTGCTTATAGCATCATCTTTTCAAATGTGGGAGTTTTAAAATGTTCTTGGGGGTAACTTTATTCTCAAGAACACTCTACCTTCAGAAATTTCATCATCTCAACCCTTAATGTTAATAGGTGCTTATTAGGTCCTTATACTTGTTCTAGTTTTTCCTTCCTTACTATGCTCCAGCTATTACTGGTTTTCTTGTCATTCCCTAAGCATACCAAACTCGTTTCCAATTCAAGGCTTTTACACTTACTATTTCCTCTGATTGAAATACTCTTGCTACAAATTTTGCATGGCTGGCTCCTTCTAAGTAATTATTCTCTACTTAAATGTCACCTGCATAAGGAAACCTCCCCTGACCACTCAATCTAACATCAAACTTCCACACACTTGCCTAGCCACTCTCAATCTTTATTTTCTTCATAGCAATTATCATATTATGAAATTTGTTACTCTGGCTCATGGAATCTAAGATACCATAAATTGTAAAACATATCCTGATTTCAGCAATGTTTAAATGTAAAAAAAAAAAGTCATCAGCAATTGCAAGATTCCACCTGTTATGGGTTTAATTGTGATTTTTAAAAAGATATGTTGAAATCTAACCCCTGATACTGTGAATGTGACCTTATTTGGAAATAGAGTCTTTTCAGAAGTAATTAGTTAAGATGAGATCATACTTGATTAGGGTGACTTGTGTCCTTATACGAATAGAAAAGAGAGACTCAGAGACACATAGGGAGAATGTCATGTGATGATGGAGGCAGAGACTGGAGTAATGTGTCTGCAAGCCAAGGAACACCAAGAATTGCTGATAAACACCAGAAACTAGGAAGAGGCAAGGAAGATTCTTTCCCTAGAGCTATGAGAGAGACCATGGCCCTGCTGAAACACCTTGATTTTGGACTTCCTGCTTCTAGAACTCTGAGAAAATAAAATCTGTTGTTTTAAGCCCTCCTCAGTTTGTGGTACTTGTTACAGCAGGCCTGGTAAACTTTATAGAGACTTTACTACCCCAATTTCAATAATGGCCAGAACAATCAGACAGGATATCAATAAGGAAATAGAGGACAGACATGAACAACACTGTAAACCAATTAGACCTAACAGACACATGTAGAACACATCACCCAACAACATACACATTCCTCTCAAACATATGGAATATTCTTCATGACAGACTATATGTTAGGCCACAAAACAAGTCTTAATAAATTTTAAAAGATTGAAGTCATACAAAGTATCTTTTCCAATCATAATAGATTGAAACTAGAAATCAATAACAGAAGGAAAACTGGAAAATGCACAAATATGTGTAAATTAAACACTCTTAAACAACCAATGGGTCAAAGAGGAAATCACAACAGAAATTAGAAATGCTTAAAAATGAATGAAAACACAGCATATCAAAATGAATGGGATATGGTGAGAGCAGTGCTCAGAGGGAAATTTATACCTGTAAATGCCTACATTAAAAAAGGAGAAATATCTCAAATCAGTAACTTAACTTGACATCTTAAGGAACTAGAAAAAGAGCAAACTAAACCCAAAGCTAGCAGGAGGGAAATGTTAAAGATTAGAACAGAGATAGAGACTAAGAAAACAATGGAGAAAATCAACAAAACCAAAGTTGATCCTTTGAAACGATCAATAAAATAGACAAACCTTTAGCTAGATTGACTAAGGAAAAAAGAGAGAAGACTCAAATTACTAAAATCTCAAATTACAGAAGTTAAAGTGGGGACATTACTACCAATTTTACAGAAATGAAAAGTATTATAAGAAAATAATGTAGGGGCCAGCCCCGTGGCTTAGCGGTTAAGTGCACGTGCTCTGCTGCTGGCAGCCCAGGTTCGGATCCCAGGTGCGCACCAACACACTGCTTCTCTGGCCGTGCTGAGGCCACATCCCATGTACAGCAACTAGAAGGATGTGCAGCTATGACATACAAGTATCTACTGGGGCTTTGGGGGGAAAATAAATAAATAAAATTAAAAAAAAAAAGAAAAATTCTTATAAAAAAAAAAGAAAATAATGTAAACAAATTGTATAACCTAGATAATATGGACAAATTTCTAGAAACACATGATCAACCAAAACTGACTCAGGAAGAAATAGAAAATCTGAATAGACCTACAACTAGTAAGTAGACTGGATGAGTAATCAAAAGACCTCCCAACAAAGAAAAGCCCAAGACCAGATGGCTTCATTGGTGAATTCTACCAAACATTTAAGGAAGAATTAACACCAATCCCCCACAAACTCTTCCAAAAAAGTGAATAGGAGGGAACACTTGCTAAGTTATTCTGTGAGGCCAGCATTACTCTGATACCAACGCCAGACAAAGATACTACAAGAAAAAGAAAACTACAAACCAGTATCCTTTATGAATATTGATGCAAAAGTCCTCAACAAAATACCAGCAAACTGAATTCAGCAGCATATTAAAAGGAAAAACATGACACCATGACAAAGGGAGATTTATTCTCAGAATGCAAGGATGGTTCGACATACAAAAATCAATCACTGTAATGTACCACATTAATAGAATGAAGGGAAAAAACCCCACATGATCATATCAATTGATGGAGAAAAAAAGCATTTGACAAAATTCATGATAAAGACACTCAACGAACTAGGAATATAAGGGAACTTCCTTAACATGATAAAGACCATATATGAAAATCCCATAACTAAACAGTGTACTCAATGGTGAAAGACTGAAATCTTTTCCCCGAAGATCAGGAATAAGACAAGGATGCTGACTTTTGCCACTTCTAAGCAACATAGTACTGGAAGTTCTAGCCAGAGCAATTAGGCAAGAAAAAAAATATAAAAGGTATTAAAATTGGAAAAGAATAAGTAAAATTATCTTTATTTGAGGATGATGGGATCTTATATGTCAAAAGATTCTGCAAAGAAAATGCTAGAGCTAATAAATGAATTTAGCAAAATTGCTCAATACAAAATCAACACACAAAAATCAGTTGCCTTTCTGTACACTAGCAAACAATCTGAAAAGAAAATTACGAAAATAATTCTATTTATATTAACATAAAAAATATTTAGGAATTAATTTAACCAAGGAGGTAAAAGACTTGTATACTGAAAACTGCAAAACATTGCTGACAGAAATTAAATAAGACATAAATAAATGGAAAGACATTCTGTGTTTATGGAGTGGAAGACATAATATTGTTATGAAAACAGTATTACCCAAAATGTTCTACAGATTCAAGGCAACCCCTATCAAAATCCCAATGATGTTTTTGCAGGAATAAAATTTTCATCCTAAAATTCATATGGAATCTCAAGGGACCCTGATTAGCCAAAATAATCTTTAAAAAGAAGAACAAAGTTGGAGGACTCACGCTTCCTGATTTCAAAGTGTGCTACAAAGCTACAGTAATAAAACAGTGTGATACTGGCCTAGGATAGCCATATAGACCAATGGAATAAAATAGAGAGCCTGGCAATTAACTCACACGGGTGGGTAGCTGATTTTCAATGAGGGTGCCAAGACCATTTGACAGAGAAAAGAGAGTCTTTTCAACAAATGGTGCTGGGAAAACTAGACATCCACGTGTGAAAGAATGAAGTTGAACCTTTACAGCATATACAAAATTTAACTCAAAATGGGTCATGTCTTATATACTTTGTATTCCTAATGCTGTGGAAACAGCAGGTCCTCAGTGAATATTTTAAAATTAATAATCCAAAATGGATATTAAAAATTAAACTAATATGTGTGTGTTACATACACCCCAGAAGGTAAATCAGTAATTTTGTCTTCTTAAGGTTTGCTTAGAACCTAATACTTTGTGATTACACAGTAATTATTTGACTTAGCAATTTTTGTGATGAGATCAAAATAGCATATTCTAGAATGCTCAATATTTTTAATTGGAATTTGGTCAAATCATAATTGTTTTATACCTAATACCTTCAACTAAAAATATTTTGGATATTCTAAAATATTCTCAAAATTTGATGAGACATATGCAATCAAAATGAGGCTAGAGTAACGTGAAAAATCACATCAGTACTCAACTATGATTTCACTTTATAATTGTCACTCTCACTTTTAACTCACCATGCACCTGTCTAAAACATGGGAGCAGAATATACACTTGCCCTTTTGCTCACTCCTATTGTTTCTAAATTTAGCTGAAAATTGTATGCAATAGGTTAACCAAGAGATTAAAATACTTTAACTTAGAAAATTAATTAATGTGTCCTTCTCCACTGGAGATTTGCAGTGCAGGCCCATGCACACCTGATACTCCAATTTAGTTGTGATGATAAATAAAAAGTTAAGTCCTGCAACTAATCCAAGATCCCTTGACCAAAATCAAATATGAAAAAAAAATTTACAAAATATCAAGTTTAAAGTTTACCTCTGTTCCAGAGTGTTTATCCCTGCTAACATCCATCTGTCTCTTAAATAGTTCTAATACAGCATTGTAGACCAGTTCATACTGTTCCTGAACAGCATCACAAACCAGAACAAATGAAAACAAACAAAAACCTTGATGAACTACAGAACCAGATTTCAGGAATATGAACACCAATCAAATCCTAGAGTAGCAGACCTGAAAAGACCATCAACATTAGTTTAATTACAATGCCTTATGTTTGTGTAGCCCATTTCAGATTTCAGAGCACTTTTAGGCTGCCAGCAAAAGCTAAATATTTGATCTACTTCTTGCTAATATGTAAGGACCTTGCAGCATGTTTTTTTATGTTCTAATCCCACTTTCTGACTTATCTTTCCCTCCACTGTCATCCCTCTAATTCTGTTTCCTTGTTCACATTTAAAAAAATTTATTTCATCCTGGATGCATTTTTTTGTAAGCCACTTTCATCTTTTCTGGAGAAAGGTAGATTGTGGTTGATGGGTAGATAGATAACCTCAATATGTATTATTTAACTTGGCTCACAATCTATAAGGTAGCTAGGCTATTATCTCTGTTTACAATTTGCAAGGTCATTCAGAAGTAATGTCTAGGACTTGGGTTAGCACCTGAATCTTCTGACTGTTAGTTTAGTGCACTTAGATCAAGCTGCTGAAATTCTGACCTAACAAAGATACCAAAGAAAAGTAGACTGCTGAATAGAGTTTGTGGTTATAAAAGGATTTCACTGTAGAGAAATGAGACCTCTACAATTACAAGGTTTATGGGTTTTCACTACTCCGTTTTTGCCTCTGTACCTGCTCAAGCACTTGATTTTGGATCTACTTTTCATCTGAATGACCTATTCAGGGTTTTCCCTGACACTACACAATCTTGTATAAATATAGTACAACTTTTTGCAAAGATAATTTTAAAAGGAGAACAGTGCAAAGCCTGTGTTACCCAACACAGCCATTGGTACACTCTTTAATTTTTTTAAGAGAGAAAAATCAGACAGGAAGCACTCATCTGGTTACAGTGCTATTTTCTGGTTAGTGTCAGAAAAATCAGCTGCAATTGGTAAGATATTTGTTCAGCTAGTTGTTGATAATGCCAAAATATGAAGGCTAACTTAAAATTGTTTCAGCTGTCTTCCACCTCTTAAAAGTAGGCCTGAAATGGACTTTTTCTGAAATGGGGTGTAGTCTTATTTATTGATTCAGTATTACAATTTAATATTATACAACTAGGTTGCACACTTCCTGGAGTCTTTGTATATTTACATGGATCAGCCTTCTTTTAAGTCTGACAGCACTAAACCAGCGAATGCTTTGATTTCACATAAACTTTCCCCCGCACAGGTTGAATATAGAAAACACCTACAGTCAACACATGAAAAAAATTATTTTTTTCCACTAGCTGTTAGTGGAAAACCTATGTGGGCCAAACAGAAGGTTTATATTTTAAAAACTCTTCATTTTTTCTCCTCAGTTCACAACTTATAGATGAAAATATCTGAAGTACTATTTTCAGTTGTTTTACCTCTAAACCTATGTGCAAGTTTATTTGTAAGTGCTTTAAACACGTTAGGGTCTTGCTATTTAAGCAGTAAAAAGTAGTTCTAACAAATTATGCAAAAGTGTCTGTTACCTAATAAATATCAATAAATTTTTGGTGAATGAGTGAATGGGTGAATGCTATACTCTATCTTAAAGATGGAGACCATTTAGAAATGTTGGTAAAATTATTGGTGTAGAAATATGGGTGAAATTCATATTGTAGAGGGTGAGAGATTTGGGCTGGGAATGTTTCAGCTAGGTAGTATAACTTGAGCTGGAGAGGAGAGGAGCAAATAGGGGAAGAGCATTCCTAATGGAGTGAACAAGTATGAGCAATTTCGGATGGTTTAAAATATTGTAATACATATGTGATCATATATATAGTATGATTGTAATTATGTTTTTTAAAAATATGTATACAGTAAGGTCCAGGAGAGACTATAGAAAAATACTAACAGTGGCTACCTCTAGGTAATAGGATTATGGTTGATTTTATTTTTATTTTTCATTATTTCCTAAAATGAGCATATGCTCAAATGGAGACTGCACTCTCCAGATTATGTTACCACCTCCTGAAGTAAAAATTACAAATCTCTGATTTTCTATGGTTTCAGAAATGAATTACTACTACAAAATTTCAAGTTAACCTGACCCAGATATTTCTTTCTAAGTCAAACAGCTTGTTACATTTTTTTCAACTTCTTTTGTAAGAAATATTATATTGCCTTCTTAATATTTTCTGAACAGACAATAAAATATAAGGAGTGAAAGGAATTTGACCCAGGGCAAGGGATACTGGAAAAATACTGGGATATTCAGAGTTAGAGGAAATGGGAAGGGACTAATACACTTAATAGTAAATTGGTTTTATAGCTAAGCAGTCAGCTGTTTTTGGATGCCTTAGAATTAAACAGAAAGATGGAAGAAGACTTAGACATATGTTGTGATCCATTCACCATAGTCCATACCTTAGTTTGAACTAATGAAGTCCTCTGTGTTCGCATTTCCTGGATCAAACTAAAAACACTGAAGTTCTCAGGAATTATCTATCAAATAAAAGGAAGAAATATCTTACTCTTTTATTCCTATCTTTGTTAATAAATTATTGCCACTCTCTCATAGGCTAGTTAATTCCATGGTATCTGCTCTCCTAACATGGAATAATACCAGAAAAAGAACACATTTTTAAAACTAATGAGGTGTCTCATCGTTTGCTCTGTGATTTAGAGCCTGGGGTTTTCCCTAGAAAAGATTGAAGAAACTCTTCAGAATGATTTCACATAGGGTGACCAAATGTCTGAAGTTAAAGATATAATGAGGGAGAAGGCTCAGTAAATCATGTATGAGAGTTTTATGAAATAAAAGAAGTTGGCAGATAGGTCTAAAGCCCATATTTTAAATTTCCCGTTTCCTATTAGACTTTTAAAAAATGATTTATAGATTGGAACACAAAGTTTGATTGTGGTTAATTGAGTCCATCTAAAGCAATTTGGGTAAAGGAAGGTAACTATGTAATTTAGGGCAGTGGTTCTCAAACTATAGCATGCATCTGAAGCCCCTGGAGAGCTTGCTGGGCCCCACCTGCAGAGTGTCTGCTTCAGTCAATCTGAGGTGGGGCCCAAGAATTTGCATTTCTAACAGTTTGTCGCGTTATTCTGATGCTGCTTGTCTGGGGACCACGCTTTGAGAACCACAACTTAGGAACTAACCTAATCATCTGACAAAGTGAGTCTACAAATGAATATTCTAGAAAAGATGAATCATGGAAATAGATATTTTGAAAAACCAAACAGTTCCTAAGTCTACAAGTAGCAGGGTAAGAAAATGGGAAATGCCTGCTGAGAGAAACTCACCCCATCTTTTAGCAACATCCATGTATAATCAATAGCACAGATAACACCAGTCCTTCCACAACCGGCACTGAAATGAAAGGTCACAGTAGCAGGTAGGTTGCAGAGAGTGAATCATTGACAGTAGCTGGAAAATTTCACCAACAGATTTGAGGAAGAAGAAACTCGGAGGTAATGAAACTTTCTAAACTCTACCATTTCCCGGAGCATGTTTGTCAATTGCCACATGCCACTCTGAGCCTTAGGACAGATTCTAGGGAACTTCTCACAGCAAGAGTCTCTAGAGGTATACTGTTCACAAGCAACTTATCAGAAAAATATTAATTTAATGCTCAGGTTGAATTTATTATAGTTTGTTTCTGCAATTGACCTTTCTCTTTCAGCCACTCTCATTTCTAAGCTTCATTCCTTTCTGATCAACTGGAAAAAGTGAGGCTAGGATCAGGAGCCTACATCCTAAGTGCTCATAACACCTTAAATTCCAACAAAGTTAGTCTTGTCTCAGTTACAGCAGAAATCCTGGCCAGACTGTGACATTGGTTTGTTCTGGGTAGAAGGTTCACGCAACAGCATCATACCTGCAGTGAATGCATATGGGAACACTGTCTTCCCCTTGGTAAAAATGCACATCCCAGATGAGCTCAAGAATAGGGTCTATAGATGAAGGCACATCGTGGTCTGGCCAATTCTTGTAATGAAACTGGTAGATAGTTCGAGTTTCCTGTAAAAAATAGCCAGAATAAGAGGAGAGTTCAAGGTTAGGACTTCATCTCATTCTACTGCAAGATTACTCTGACCAAATAGCATCTATATCTTTTTTGCAATTTATGCTGCTTTCTTCCCTATAGACCACTGGTGACCATGTGCCTTCTAAGAACAATTTAAAGTGATCTCAGGTCACTTACTATTGGCCTGTCCTTATCTGCCCCACTCACAAAAAGAGGTAGATATGAAGATAGTCAAAAACAGAGCTTCCCAACTGATGTGCTTCAAATGGGTCACAGGCATGCTGATATATTAAATCTTTTTGCCTTAGAGAGACATGGCAGCCTGAACTCTCAAGTTGATTCCCAGCCTCTGTTCACTGTACAGCCTCTATTTACTCTGCAAATATTATAGTTTTATACGTGTGCCATGATGTGAAATAGATTGGGGAGCACAGATTACACCAATGATCTCTTTTGAATATAAAGATTTATCCAGAACATCAAAGGCCCCACCACTCCCCATTGTCTTATGCCCAGCCTGAGTCACATACATATACATTTACCTGTCTGATCTCTGTAGGCTTGTGAATTTACTGTTCCTGTTCTATACTTACACTGTTGAACTTGGCTTTTAGAGTCCTGATTATATAATCAGATTTTCTATTTTCAGCTTCCTAAGAAGTAAATTAAAATATTAGTTGTTTCAAAGACTGATAACTCTATAAAGTAGATCCTGGAGCATTTGCTTAGCCGTAATGGAAACGGGCATCATACTTACACAGGATATGGAGAAAGGGCCAAGTTGGAGTTGTGTCTCTCCTGGCTCAGCCCAGTAGCGCTCACACTTTTTCTGTTGCAAAAGCAGAATGTAGTGATTTCTCTCCATATATTCTAGTCTCTTCTGGGTAACAAAACCCCTCCCTCATTCAGAAGCAAATTTAGCTCTGTGTCCTTCAGCTTAGGTTAGGAAATCCTAACCCCCTTGGGCTTCAACCCCAACATCATAGTCTGGAATCTCCAAGGATGGGGAAACAAACATTAAAGGATATATAAATTACAGACTTCCTAGAAGTCTGAATAAGTATAAATAAAGATCTGACATTTTCAGTATTTCAAAAGGATTAACAAAAATCATATGTCCACTAAAAGCTGCACAAGCTTATTGAAATACCAAATTGCCTTGGTTTTAACTGGAATTATATTAACTCATAATGACAACGGTAGGTTAGAAGAGTGCTGTTCAATATAAATATAATGTGAGCTACAAATGTAATTTTAGGTTTTCTAATAGCCACATTCAAAAATGAAAAAAAGGTGAAATTAATTTTAATATATCAAAAAACATGTAGTCAGTGTAAACAGTTATTAGATATTTGACATTTTTTAAAGTAAGTCTTCAAAATCCAGTATGTATTTTATATTTACAGCAAATCTCAATATGCTAAATATTCATTGGAAATATTTTATTTCCATTTAGATTTCATAAAATTTATAGTTGAAAGAGTCATATACCCAAGGTGTTCCAAACATACTTAAAGTTTTCCAATAACTGAATTGGTTATGAGTTTTTAAATTTAAATTCATTGAAATAAAATAAAATAATTGAGTTCCTTGGTCACACTAGCCGTATTTCAAGTGCTCAATAGCCAGGCCTGGTTAGAGGATGCCATGTTGGACAGCACAAGGTTTAAGCTCTGACTGGCAGTTAAAGATGTCTGATTAATAAAAATGGGAAAATGAATTGTTACTTTAAAAAGCATACCTTATTTTTACTTTAAAACATAGAGTCTACTGGGAAAATGGACAAAAGGGATTCTTAGGGGTAAAAAAGACTTCAGAGTCATTTGGCATTCCCAAACTGAAAACTAGGAAGATGAGCATAATTTTTAGCTAGGCACACTTAAGAAAAGTTCTGCTACCAATGTTCTCCCTTCTTTTTCTTCTTTCTTTTACCTTTAGGTATACTAGAAAGCAACTTACCTTCCCCATTTCAAACTCCATGCATGCCATAACAATGATCTGGAGGGACAAAATTATAGATAGAAACTTAAACATTGATATAGTTAGAAAGAACAGTTAATACATGGGTCCCAGGATCAGAAAGTGTTAATTATTCTTTTTCTGTTTTGTTTGTTTTTTAACCAGAAAGGAAATCCTCATAAATTATAAAATGTTGCTCCTAGTCTTCTTTTTGTCCTCACTTCCCTTTTCTGTATTCAAATGAATAAATTCTTGTTAACAAATGAGCCTGTCCAGATGAGAACTTTCATTTCCTTCAACAAGAGTGACATTGTGATTTTGACTAAAGGTGCCTGAAGACCGAAATTCGAGTGGCTGACCAAAAAAAGTACTGATTTTAATACATAGGAAACATCAGTCACATAGCCTGATACCCTACCCTATCCACCCCTAAAAACTAGAGAATATAGTAACAAAAGTAACTCTGTACTTACCAGAACACTGTACTCCCAAATCATCCTCCAGAAGTCCAGGAGAGTTGTAGACAAGGGCCCCTGGGTGGCAATATAAGCCTTGGGTCCATAAACTCCCTAAAGAGGAACAGAAATTAAATGGGTGACTACAAATAATATCCTCTTCTTCTTGTCTAGTATTCTCCCCCTTTCCCTTTTTCAGATACCTAGAGAAATATGGAATACGGAGTGTACCTTAATGAAGCTGGCATTGATGTAGCTGGAATTCTGATCAGATGTTATCAGGGACAGCTCTACTCGGCTATGATCATCTATAATACAAAAGGAAGACATAGTATAATTAAGAGGGCTTAGTCAGCGGGACTAACACTGTGAATAATGGATGCTCGTAAGTGTTTGATCAGAATGAGTGAGTGAATGAATGAATGTTCTTTTGTAGTCATAAATAGTACAAACTAATTTGTCAAAGCCATGTTCCAGGATTAGGAACAGCAAGTAATGGATAAAAAAAGACAGGAACGATTGGATTTGGGAGAACGTACAAGTTCACAGGAAGAAATGAAACTTACAGGGCAAGATATCCTTATATCTGTTTTTCTTGATATTCTCAGGCCTCTCAGCGACAGTTGTGGGATAGGTTTTTTCTGCCTTGTACTTGGTAGATTGTTTTTTCAGCTTCTGTAATAAAATTCCAATAATTAAATCTTCCCAGAGAAAAGAGGTAAAAAGCTATCTCTAGAGAGCTTTCCTTCTCCACTGCCCAAACATTCCACTTCACCCCTTTTAAGCATCCTCTAGGGCTAATTCCATTCAGGACAGAACCGCAGAACACAAGGACAGCAGAGTTCAGTGACATTTGGAGAAGTGAAAAGATCACACTTACTGCAGCTGAGCCACAAACAGTTAAAACTTGAGGTGAGGGGCTGGCCCCGTGGCTTAGCGGTTGAGTGCGCGCGCTCCTCTGCTGGCGGCCCGGGGTTCGGATCCCGGGCGCGCACCGAAGCACGGCTTCTCCGGCCATGCTGAGGCCGCGTCCCGCGTGCAGCCACTGGAGGAATGTGCAGCTATGACATACAGCTATCTACTGGGGCTTTGAGGGGAAAATAAATAAATAAATCTTTAAAAAAAAAAAAAACTTGAGGTGAAACTGGTGAATATTTAAAAAACCAGTATCTTCTGAAAACAAATTATATGTTCCAACCTCTAAGAGGCTCAGATATAAAAGTTTACTGTCTTTACAGCTATTACAGGGCTATTTTAAGTAGAAATGGAACTTAAGCTGAATAGAATATATCTAACAAAATTTCAAAGATTTCAGTCTCAAAAGCAGTCATTTTTTTTTATATGACCCAAACTTTAAGCCTACCCCCTCAACAAAATAATAATCTTTAAATAGTATCATATTCTGTTGGTAGAATGTGATCTGGGCCAGGCAGGGGCTAGCATAATATGGTTGAACAAGATTCCTCAAGATAGTGATAATTCCTTAAAATTACTCCCATTTTTCAATATTATACTATAGACCAAAATTTGAGGTCAGAGGAAATCATAATTCCTCTTTAGCTCTTGCTTAGGAATCAACCTTGTCCCAAATTTTAACTCCTTTATCATTCAAAGAAGCCACATTTAATAGATCTGACCTTTGTGAACCCTTACTCAATTTGAGAAAGTTAAGGGAAAAACATCTGTGATAGTGAATAAATATTTGTTGAATTGAACTACAAAAAATAATTTTCATTATTTGCCCACTATTTAATGGTGAATTATCACATGAAAAGCATTAATTACTTCTGCTGGGTCAGATCCTTCAGCATCTACTCAGTCTTAATTCTCTTTAACTTCTTTCTTGACATTTCCTCCTCCCTGGGCCCTTATTAGTCTACATTATCTTGGTTCTCCTCTTTCTTTGACTTCACTTTCCCACTTCTCACTCTTTCTTACTGGCTCTCGGTTTGTTTCTATCTTCTAATTGTGAATTATGCAGAGTTCCAAATTTAAGTCCTCAACTCTCTGCTCTTCTCTTACTATATACATTTGCTTAAGGATATCATATCCTCTTATAGAAGGCATACCAGTGTTTTTTAAAAAATTTATTTAACTGATTCAAATTGAATTATAATCCTGGGCCGCCCCCGTGGCTTAGCCGTAAGTGCACGCGCTCCGCTACTGGCGGCCTGGGTTCGGATTCTGGGCTCCCACCGACGCACCACTTCTCCGGCCATGCTGAGGCCACGTCCCACGTGCAGCAACTAGAAGGATGTGCAACTATGACATACAACTATCTACTGGGGCTTTGGGGGAAAAAAAAAAGGAGGAGGATTGGCAATAGATGTTAGCTCAGAGCCAGTCTTCCTCAGCAAAAAGAGGAGGATTAGCATGGATGTTAGCTCAGGGCTGATCTTCCTCACAAAAAAAAAAAAAAAGAAAGAATTATAATTCCAACCCCTATTGGATAACTCTCAAATTTCTATATTGAGATTTGATTACTAAGTTCCAGTCCTGAATTCCCAACCATGTCCTAGACATTTCCACTTGATTATCTTATTAGAGCCTCAAATTCAGCACGTTTAAAACTAAATTCATCATTGTCCCCACTATTAATGCCAGTGACACTATCTTTATCCCAGGCAATCATATACTAGAAACTGAGAGTCACTTTTGGTTTCCCCCTTCCTACGTCAAATTCAGTCATCAAGTTCAACTGATTCTTCCTTTGCAATATCTTTTGTGTGTGTGTGTGTGTGTGTGAGGAAGATCAGCCCTGAGCTAACATCCGATGCCAATCCTCCTCTTTTTTGCTGAGGAAGATTGGCCCTGGGCTAACATCTGTGCCCATCTTCCTCTGTTTTATATGGGACACTGCCATAGCATGGCTTGACAAGAGGTGCATTGGTGCGCACCTGGGATCTGAACCTGCAAACCCTGGGCCACCGAAGCGGAGCGCAAGCACTTAACCTCTGCACCACTGGGCCGGCCCCCCCATGCAATATCTTGCATCAACCTTTCTTCCTACGCCCACTACAGATACCTTAATTCAGGCCCTTTCCCTTAAAGTTTGAACTGTTACAGTTGCTTCTTAACACATCTTCAGCCTTTTCTGTCTTTCCCCATTTAAATCCATTAGGCATAATTACGCCAAATTAATCTTACTAAAATGTTGCTTTCCTTATCTCTCTCATGCTCAAAACAACTTCAGTGAATCCCCCTTGCTACTAGGAAAAAGTCCAGACTTCTTAGCTAGGTACTTAAGATTCTCCCCACTTGGACCCCAAGCTAATTTTCCCATATTTCCCACAGCCCTACAATTATGAGGTTTCTAAAGATTGACTTCTAGGTTCTTTCAAGTTTGTACAAATTGATGTCATTGACAGTTGTGTATAATATCACTTCTTTAAAACTATGGCTTTCCTTTTCTTTCTTATAAATGTATACCTGGTACTGCTTTTGCATTTCTTAGCCATGATTATGGTCTCTTTTGTTCCACAGGGTAAACTAATAATGAGAAATAAGGAAATAGACAAAGAATTTTTCCCAAGTGACTGGCAACAAGAAAAAATTAAAAAGAAGGGAATTGTTAATTATTGTTTCTTAGTTGCTTATATTTCATATAGTGTTTTTACATAATTAATTAGGATGTATGTGTATCTGTAGGAGTTTACTTAAGGACACTTATAACGAAGTTGTTAAAAAAATGGGTGAGGAAGGGAGAGCCAAAAATAAATGTATGGCACAGAGAGACAGAGAGAGAAAAGACACAGTAGAGAATAGAAATTTGTTCCAATAAATCATCCAAATCCATCATTAGATTTCAGGATAACTTGATAACTGAGTCTGCAAGGAGAGGAAAAAAGTTGGAGTCATAAGATTGTTGTTAGCTGAGAGTTCATAACAAAGTATTATCGAATATCTAGAATCTAATTAAATGAACACTGATAAATAAATGGCAAGCAATAGGATATACTGGAGTATATGAAGAAGCCATTTGGTGTAAAACTAATTCAGTCTGACCTTGTTTGTCCAGAAGAGATTGATGTGGCCATTGAGCGTGCATTGTATATCTGCTTTAAGCATTTACTATGTCCCAAAGACAAGAACAAATGCCCTTAAGATAAAGATGTAACTTCCCCCACATTCACATTTCCTTAAGGATAAGCATTTCTCCCTAGTCTAGGAATTGATTACTGCGCTCACCCTGTGATCACCCAGCTTGAGATAACAGACCTGCTACCTGCTGTGTCCATCAATTGCTGTTCCAACAAGGCAATCTTGTGACTATTCTAAAAGGGACATTGCAATCATATGTAATACATGCTCTTTGACAGTATATATCTATTCTGTACACCCTCACTTTTTTGGAGTACTCCATTCCTTTGTGAAAGGACTCTCCTGGGCTATATGGTCCTCAAATCTGGCTCATAATAAACTCATCCCAATTTTGATTTATAGATTGGTTATGGGTTATTTGTGTTGACAATACTTTCCAAATAATAAATAGATTATTAAATTATTATAACAACTCAATATAGGAATATAAGCTTTTTCCAACTAAGGATGACAAATGGAACAGACAGCCACTGCCTGCTTACTTGCTAGATATAATAAGACATAATGCCAACATTTATTGTTCTAATGACCATTTTTTCTGTTTCTAGAATTAGATCAGACACACTTGATTTATTAAAAAGCAGGTATACAGTTGGTTCTTAAATCCTAGTTTCTTACCATGGTTTGAATTCTTGGATCTTCAGAATTCCATAGGAAGAGAGGTGCTGAACTGATAACTATACAGCATATTTTTACACCAAGTTGGATGCAAGTGGGCTAGTTCGGGAATTTAACTAAGGCCATGGCATAGACACGTGAGAGACTATAAAATAATTCCACTCAAATTATACCAGTTTTTCAGCTCTCTCTGCTCTTATGCACCTTCAGAATGATCATTTTCAGGTTGCCGTTGATTCCAGGGCTGCTGAAAAGATGTCAAGTCCCAGAGCAGTTCCTTCTAGAAATCTCCAGAACTGAGCCTAGTGCATACTCCTTGTTACACTGTTTTTATTTGTTTGTTTTGCTTTGCTTGCTTGTGGAATGTTTTCCAGGGAGAATGCTATAGGCAAAGCCCTTTTTGTAAGATATGCCTCAATTAATTTGGTAAAATGTTACAGATAAAGGTTGTGTATGTGTGTAAACCTAGGCTTGTTTAGCTGTCTTGACTGCCACCTTCAACAATGGGACAAGATGGCTTCTGTTTTCCTACTTTGCTCCTCCTCTTGGAGTCATGTGGCTGGATGACAAAGAGAGACACTATTTTAGCTAAACATCACATAGGAAATGCCTATAGAATTGTTAATTTGGAAAGTGTGAAAGATTTTTTTTTTGCGATATCTTACCTTGAGGTCAGATCACTGTGAAGACCTCACCAGAAAAGGAGAAACGCTGAGAGTAGGAAGCAAAAGGGTATAAAAGAGAAAGCAGGGCCAAGGGGATAGGTTGGGGTTAGGGGAGAAAGGATAGGTCAAAAGGGGAAGGTATTTCTCTGTCAACCACAAGGTAGGGGATGTGAATTCCCTAGAGGTGGTACCCACAAGAGAAATCAGGGGAAGAGTTGCTGAGAGAAGAAAAGGGGCCAGCATCCCTCCTGGGACCTGATAGGTTGGAATGTATGACAAACCAGATTCTGT